GGGGGAGACATAAATGTCAAATAAATGATGCAATTCATTCCTGTGCCGGCACAAGTGGTTGGGGCCCATTCATCTGTAATATAAACAGCTGTATCCTGGAGCTCTTGAATGAAATAATGCCCCATTTATTCCCAGGGTGGAAGAAAAGATGCAAAAAGCAGCACTCTGCTAGAAATGGTATCTTCACCACTATATGTGGACTACACACCACCCTTTCGTAGGGAAAACAGGACATATCCCAAAAGATCTTCTGCCCGTTGAGATATATATGGTATATCCTGTATCCTATACAAAGCACCATGATGTCCCCATCCTGTAGTGAAATAAATGATATGTGGGAAGTCACTGACAGAGTATACACTCAATAAGATATATAGGTCATATAAATCACAGAGGACCATATATCTAATGTCCTGTAACAGTCCACTCACCACCTGTGCTGTGGGTATTAGGAATGAAAAAGATATCCTTCATGGGTACTGCCATACACGGCCACAGAGGCCTAGGAACCACCGCTGACATCCGCCGATATACCGCGGGTTCCAGCCCCTTCTGGCGCTTGTGCTGCTCACACTTGCCTCATGGCATATGAAGATGGCTTCCTCCTTTATGGGTCAGCGTGCGTTCCACCCTAATGCGCATGACCGGAAGTGACGTATCTGACGTATGACGTCAACGCGTTTCGCCGATGGGCGTATCTCACTCAGCTTCGTCAGGACCAATGAAACAACTGCATTTCAATTTCCTATTTATAGTGGGTAAAGACCCACCCATTTATGCAAAAAAGCTAACCTGCACTTGTTCCATATGGAAGAAAAGAAGGGGGCTAAATACTTAGCACAACTGCTGGTCTTTGTTGAATATACTTAAAAAGACAAACGGCTGGAGACAACAAAGAGGAGAGAGGCTTAGCAATTTTAACAATGTATATATATTGATCAAAAGATCATGAATTAAATGTACCAGTCAATTAACGCTTTTATCACATTTTAACCAGTAGATGGCGATATAAATCAGAGAATCACCAATTCTATTCATTGAGACAGGTTTTTTAGGAGACAATGTAAATTACCAAAGGAATTAAAATTATTTTTGGGAGAGTTAAATCAGAACTCCTTCAACATTGGACTCACGTATATATTTGATGAAAGATGTATTTCTTTTCTGGATCTGGAGATTAGACTTGAGAATGGAAGACTCCTTACAAAGACATATAGAAAACCTACTGCTGCCAACACCCTACTAGAGGCAAGAAGCTATCATCCACGTTCACTGATTTCGGGGATTCCAGTGGGACAGTTTTTGAGATGTCGGAGAAATTGCTCAAACATCAATGACTTTAGAATGGAGGCTCAGGACCTCTATAAAAGATTTAGAGAGAGGGGATATTCCCACTCCCAAATTAGAAATGCTCGAAGACGGGCATATCAGACTGACCGCGAGGACTTATTATCTCCTAAAAAGGATGTAAAGGCGAAACCGAGTGATCAACCTGTTAGAATGATTACCCAATTTGGAGCCCAATGGCAAGATGTAAAATTGATATTAGAAAAACACTGGAAGATTCTAACCCAATGCCCTAGGCTGAGTAAGATTGTAGGTGAGCGCCCCCAGATGGTAGCAAGAAGAGCACCAAATCTTGGTGACCTCCTTATTCATTCAGACTATCAACCATTAAAACAAACAACATGGTTAAAATCACGTACCAAGGGGATGTTTAAATGTGGAAAATGTCAAATCTGCAAATATGTGGATCGTACGGATTCCTTTTATGACTCAGGAAATAATACTCATTATAGGATTCAGAGTCTCATAAACTGCTCCACAGTGAGAGTATTATATATCCTAACCTGTCCTTGTAAAAAGATGTATGTTGGTAAGACTAAAAGACAACTTAAAGTACGAATAGGTGAACATCTTAGAGACATTAGGTCAAATGACCCTGACAGTAATCTTGCCCAACATTACGCCAAGTATCATGGAGGTAAACTGGACGGTACAAAAGTAAAAGGTTTCTATGCACTGCACTTCCCACAAAGAAGAGGTGATTTTGATAGAGAACTGCTTAAAAAGGAGAAACATTGGATATATAAACTTGATACACTGTACCCGAAGGGGTTAAATGTGGAATGTGACCTCCAAGTGTTTTTGGAAAAATAGGTTTATAGGACTATGTACCTGTGTATTGCCATGCGGTGGGCAATCTACGGCATTTTTTTGTCATTTTTTTGTCTTTTAAAGGGTTGGACTTCAGATTAAATAACCCCAAAATAAACCTATATATATTGGGAATATTAACAAAAGTATGGATGATCTTATGGTATGAGCTTCAATATAGCTCTAAAAAATGTAAAAGGATTGATTGTCTGGTTAATTGTCCCTTAGTACCTCCTCCTTTTGAATAATAACCACACCATAGGATGGTTGCCTGAGAATTGGGGTATTTTTGCTGGAATGACCCTTATGAAAACTCCCAGGTTATATTGCCATCTTGTGGTGTCCTTTGGTAATTTACATTGTCTCCTAAAAAACCTGTCTCAATGAATAGAATTGGTGATTCTCTGATTTATATCGCCATCTACTGGTTAAAATGTGATAAAAGCGTTAATTGACTGGTACATTTAATTCATGATCTTTTGATCAATATATACATTGTTAAAATTGCTAAGCCTCTCTCCTCTTTGTTGTCTCCAGCCGTTTGTCTTTTTAAGTATATTCAACAAAGACCAGCAGTTGTGCTAAGTATTTAGCCCCCTTCTTTTCTTCCATATGGAACAAGTGCAGGTTAGCTTTTTTGCATAAATGGGTGGGTCTTTACCCACTATAAATAGGAAATTGAAATGCAGTTGTTTCATTGGTCCTGACGAAGCTGAGTGAGATACGCCCATCGGCGAAACGCGTTGACGTCATACGTCAGATACGTCACTTCCGGTCATGCGCATTAGGTGGAACGCACGCTGACCCATAAGGAGGAAGCCATCTTCATATGCCATGAGGCAAGTGTGAGCAGCACAAGCGCCAAGAAGGGGCTGGAACCCGCGGTATATCGGCGGATGTCAGCGGTGGTTCCTAGGCCTCTGTGGCCGTGTATGGCAGTACCCATGAAGGATATCTTTTTCATTCCTAATACCCACAGCACAGGTGGTGAGTGGACTGTTACAGGACATTAGATATATGGTCCTCTGTGATTTATATGACCTATATATCTTATTGAGTGTATACTCTGTCAGTGACTTCCCACATATCATTTATTTCACTACAGGATGGGGACATCATGGTGCTTTGTATAGGATACAGGATATACCATATATATCTCAACGGGCAGAAGATCTTTTGGGATATGTCCTGTTTTCCCTACGAAAGGTGGTGTGTAGTCCACATATAGTGGTGAAGATACCATTTCTAGCAGAGTGCTGCTTTTTGCATCTTTTCTTCCACCCTGGGAATAAATGGGGCATTATTTCATTCAAGAGCTCCAGGATACAGCTGTTTATATTACAGATGAATGGGCCCCAACCACTTGTGCCGGCACAGGAATGAATTGCATCATTTATTTGACATTTATGTCTCCCCCCATACAGGCCTGAGGCTTGTTGTTCTCTTCTTGACGCCTATTTGTGCTTGCTGCATTGTATATATGTGATATTTTTCCATAGTACAATTTTTGGATTCCCTGATTGGGATTCACCATAATGGTATTGTTCTACATATAATAATTAACATTATGGTATGCCTATGGTATAATTTTTGGATACACCTCTTTTGGGAAGTGTTCACCTATGTGTTTGTGCTACAGGGACATTAGACTCTTGCAGTCATTTTCTCTGTTGCACATGCATTTAGACCGGTCTTGATGTCATTTTATATGGTTTTAGGTCTGTGTGTATTGTCTCATACTGAGGTGATGGTAAACCAGGGCGAATGCCCATATGTCATATTTATATATGTGTAATAAAGCATAATTTTTGGAAATTTTTTCTGAGTGTCACGTTCTGTTCATAATGTAGCCGCTTTCTCTGTGAATTTCTTTTCACAAATCCCCCTTTTTTTGAATGCCTCTTTTGGCTACTGAATGGAGACCAAACATTGGGTGACATGATAAATCACTTTACAACCTCTTAAAAACTATCTTTTATAGTAAGTTGTTATTCCCTGATTTTAAGGGATCTGGAATATAGTGAATAAATATAAACTTCATGATCAAATACCAGCAAAGGAAAGCTCTAGAAGTGGGAAAAAAGGATACAAAATTAAATTTATGTACAGCGTTGCATGACCATGCCGATTAGCAAAAAAATGGCCTGGTCATGAAGGGGGGGTAAATCTTCCGGACCTGAAGTTGGTTAATCTTTTAAATGGAGGCTTCTCCCCACAATCCTTAGTTGTACCTCTGGCCCAGCTGAAAGACAAACACCACAGCATAAACAATATAAGGGCGGGTAATTATTGCCGTTCTGAAAGACTACTAGAAAACAAGTTCCTGGTAAGTCTAACTTAAATTTTCTCAAAACATCTTTCAGGACAGCACATGAGAGGATAAGAGCTTACCCACTCATGGTAGGACTACTGCTTGCAGAAACTTTCTGCCAAAGGCCTGCTCCCCCGGCTAATAACATATCCAGTATGTAGTGGCACACAAAAGTAGAAAGGCTTGACCATGTTTGCAGCTTTGCATATTTGTTCCAGGGTGGCACTGGCCCTTTCTGCCCAGGTGGCTGCTAGAGCCCTAGTGGAGTGAGCATAAATCCCCAAAGGTGGGTCAAGACTGGACTGTACATGAGCTAACCAATTTTAGCCATCTTGCTATGGATACTTTGGTAGCCTGATGCTCCATCTTAGATCCAGCATAAAACAAAAAAATGTATGAGTCAGAGCTCCTAAAATTCTGTGTCAATACTAAATACAGGGCTTAAAATTTCAAGTCCTGAGCTACTAGCCAGGCCTTAGAGTTACTCGCCACCAACAAACACACAGAGACACCTGTACACACTCACACAGACATGTACACACACATACATGTACATACACAGAAATACACATGCGCACACACACATGTACATACACACATATGTACATGCACACACACACACACACACATGTACATACACAGAGACACGTACAATTGTACATGTATACACAGACACACACAAACACACATGTACACGTACACACACACCACCCCCCCATAAAAAGTTGCAGTACTTCATTGTTCACTCACAGATCCAGGTACTGCACTCTAGGGGGAGGCAGAGAGCACAGCACACACTCCTTACTTTGCTTTCACTGCGCTCAGCTACTGAGCAGTCTGACAGATTCGACCTGAGCTCTGAGCCTGCTCAGCAAGACGGCCCTGGGGGGCACACTCGCCCCCACCATAATTTCCACTCGCCATTGGCGAGCAGGCTAGTTGAAATTTCAAGCCCTGGCGTAATACAATTCTTCTTACATGCAGGGAATTATAATTTTGTCCTAATTCGTCAGGCAAAAAAGTAATAAACGATAAGATAACCTGGGAAGGATGGTAGGCCGAAGACACTTTAGGATTTGTCTAGGCACACCCCTATGCTGACAGGATTATCCTGAAGACAGATCCAGCCTTACTTCCCAATCACCAGTGTTGCCAACTATGCAGTGTCTCTAAAAATCCTCATGCTACATTTACTCGACTCTGTTGTCTCCACAGCCATTTTGACGTTACTGCAGTATTTGACGTTACAGCAGTAGATGCCAGCAGCTGGAGCAGCCAGGAGAGGGAGGAGTAAACAGCCAGTAGTGTGGGACGGACTTCAGCTTACCAGGAGAAGGTAAGCTGGGCTAAGAACATGTAATCAGTGGGTAATACCAAGTACCCTCCATACACAACAGAGGGAGGAAAGGCAATGCTCCCTATAGCATGGGCCTCTGTATTTTAGAAGATGTTAGATCAATTTGTTTTTTGTCTGAAAGAAACTGCATTTCCTGCTTCTCCTGGAGGAAGTCTGAGATTTCCCATGATCTCTGCTAAACCTGCATACTCATTACACCCCATATCTAAGTTACCCTTCCTTGCCAAGATCCTTGAGCGAGTTATATCTCAGTTACATAACCAACTGGCTTTAAATAACCTATTTGAACCCCTCTAATCTGGTTTTCGGCAACTACACAGCACAGAAACCGCTTTGGTCAAAGTCCCCAAATGACCTTCTGTTAGCTTCTGGCTCACTAACTATTCTTATTCTTCTGGATCTTTGTTCTGTCTTCGATACTGTAGACTTTTACTCTCTTGCCTTGAAACCATATTTGGAGTCTCAGAATTGGCACTGAAATGGATTAAGTCACATCTTACTGATCACTTTGTTTCTCTTGGTGGATATCAGTTTGAAGTCGGTCCAGTCAAATATGGTGTTCCTCGGGGCTCAATCTTGGGTCCCTTACTTTCTAGCATTTACAGGTTTCCACGTGGCCAACTGCTAAGATCCCATGGGCTCAATTATCAGTTCTATGCTGACTGCACAGATATACATTTACACCAAACCGGATTCTACTTTGGCTGCTTCTCTTCAATCTAACTGTATTTGTGATATAAAAAAAAATTGGATGTCCCATAATTTCCTTCAATTAAACTGTGACAAGACTGAAGTCATGCTTATTGGCAACCGCCATCAATTGTATGAGGCCAGTCCTGGTAGTCTATCAATGGCACTGTACTTGAGCTTCAGTCTAAATTGAAAAATTTAGGAGATATTTGATGCTATCTTAACCTTTCATCCACATGTAATAAATGTTGTCAGAATATCTTTTTTCCACTTTAGAAACATAGCTCAGCTGTGACCTATGCTAATATATACTGTAGATGAAAAGCTGACATACATTTGCGTTCTCCCAACAATTGCAATGCTCTACTCGCTGGTGTACCTAAATCCACTATTAATTGACTACATTACGCGGCTTAAAATTTCAAGTCCTGAGCTACTAGCCAGGCCTTAAGAGTTACTCCCACCAACAAACACACACTAACAGAGACACCTGTACACACACAGAAAAATGTACACACACACGTATACACACACAGGCACGTACATACACAAAATACACACGCACAGACACATGTACATATATACACACACATACATGTACATACACAGACACATGTACACACACACACGTACATACACGCAGACACGTACATACACACAGACAGATGTACATGCATACACAGACACACACACGCTGTTTAAGTGCTCTCTCCTCTCCCCTGAAGCCACCACTGGCTCTTCTGTATGACCACTTCATGTGTCTGAGCTGCTGGGGCACTACAAGTCCTAGCATGCCAGGAAAATATATATCACACACACACACATATTTGCCAAAAGTATTGGGACACCCCCTCCAAATCATTGGATTCAGGTGTTCCAATCACCTCCATGGCCACAGGTGTATAAAATCAAGCACCTAGGCATGCAGACTGCTTCTACAAACATTTGTGAAAGAAGGGGTCGCTCTCAGGAGTTGTGAATTCAAGCGTGGTACTGTGATAGGTTGCCACCTATGCAGTCATCCATAACATTTCCTTGCTACTAAATATTCCATTGTCAACTGTTAGTGGTATTATAACAAAGACGCTTCTCTGTCTGGCAATCTGATGGACGTGTTGGGTTTGGTGGTTGCCCAGAGAACGGTACTTGCTGAACTGCATTGTGCCAAGAGCAAAGTTTGGTGGAGGGGGGATTTTGCTGTGGGGTTGTTTTTCAGGGGTTGGGCTTGGTTCCAGCAATGGTCCAGTGAAGGGAACACTTGAGGCGTCAGGATACAGGACATTTTGGAAAATGTTATGCTCCCAACTTTGTGGGAACAGTTTGGGGATGGCCCCTTCCTGTTTCAACATAACTACACACCAGTGCACAAAGCAAGGTCCACAAAGACATGGATGAGTGAGATTGGGTTGGAGGAACTTGACTGGCCTGCATAGAGTCCTAACCTTAACCCAATAGAACACCTTTGGGATGAATTCAGAGTGGAGACTGAGAGGCCACCTCCCCCGACATCAGTTCCTAACCTCACAAATGCGCTTCTGGAATAACACACACACACGTGTGCTTGAGCTTTGAGCCTAATGCAATAGGCTGTGTACATCTATGCTTATCAGGATAAAGCCATAAATAAGGTTCTCTAATAGACAAAGAATGCAAATTCACCAATTCTGCATGCCAAGAAGCACTGTCTTCAAAGTGCTAAACTTCAAGGATGCAGTACTTAATTGCTCAAAAGGAGACTTGGTTAAAGCCTGTGAAAGTACTGAAAGACCCGATATAGGAAAGGATCTGATGTTGACTGGCCTAGAGCAAAATAACCTGCACTCATCAACCACCAGATTCTTGTTGACTCCACCCAGTCTGAAAAAAAAAGAAATATATAGTATAGGTGTGGCCATCGAAACTCAAACAATTCATACAAAAAACAGGGATAAAGGGATACCCCTGGAAGGAAGGTTCAACTGGGACCATGCAGCTAAACTGTGGCAGGGCGGCACTGCTGTGCAAAATCACGTTTATAAACGTGATTTTGCATATCAGGTAGGGGGCGCGCACGCATGAGAGGCGCGTGACCGCCCTACCCGCACCGCTGATTGTGGCCATGGGTGTCAATCACCGGGTCCCGGCCGGTCATTACTGCCGGGTCCCAGCAATTGCCTGCAAACAGTGACACAGAGCACAGCTGCATTGTTTTCAATGCAGCTCTGCTCCGTCAGTTCCCAACACACTGTCACGGAGAGCAGAGATTAGCTTTCCGGGACAGTGTGTAACAGTGAAGTACACCCCCCCACCCACTAGTAAAACACTCCCCTCACACAGTTAACCCTTTGATTGCCTAAAAAAGTTAACCCCTTCCTCCCCAGTGCCAGATATGGGGTGAAGATGTAGAAGACCTGTGAGAGGGCAACAGGCTATACTTATAAGTTTTGGTTTTTACGAGGGAAAAGATAGTCACATGGAGCCCCCCGTATGCCCAGACTACATGGGGAGCAGTGGCAAGATAGTTTGGGACTTGGTGTCATCCTTTTTTCCGTATGGGGTACCACTTATACGTGGATACTTTTTATTCAAGCGTGCCACTATTTAGACATTTGTTCAATCTTGGAACTGGCGCTTGTGTGGCAAAGCTTGACCTAATGTGTGCCCACCATTAGAAGTGGGTGGATGCAGGGCGGTATATACTAATGGTGGGCATACCACACACTTTTTCTGGCAGAGATTTCTTCTCTTTTTTTCATTCAGCCCACAGGCAGCGTACAAAAAAAAAAATGAAAGAACATAGCATATATAACCAAAGATCAGTGATGTACTGGTACATCATGGTTATACCAGGATGATGCCTATAGCTGCAGACATTATCCTGGTATCATTTTTTTCAGCCCGCGATCGGCTTTCATGTAAAAGCAATTCTAGTGGCTAATTAGCTGCAGGATTGCTTTTACAAGCAGCAGGAGATATGATGCCCCCCCTCCCCTGCTGCCTTCCACGGCCTTCTCGGGCAGTCCTGTGCCAATCAGGGGAATCTGAGAATGCAGCCGGTGTTTCTGCCAGCTGTCCATAGAGCTGATTGGAGACCAGAGTGGTGCCAATCATCTCTATAGTCTAAGAATTCGGAAGCTAGGAGCATTTCATCACTTCAGGTTTGCAGGATATAAACAGCGCCATTTGTAAATTGGGAAAGCATCTGATCACACCGATTTTGGTTTGATTAGATAATGTAAGGGCAGAGGAAATATCCAGAGTCTGCTAGACCCCAGATTTCTCAAAAAAAGAATACTGTATATGACAATGCCTATTGAAGTTATAGGGGATATTTGCATTCCCTGTGATAGCATTAAAATTGAAAAAAAAAAGAAAAAAGAAAAGGCGCAGTGTAAAAATAATAATAAAAATAACTTAAAAAAAATAAAAAACTCACCCCTCCCATGTGCGCACACCTGTGTGCACAAGCGTTGACCCTGTTCTAGTATGTAAACAGCGGTTGCACCATGCATGTGAGGTATCGCCGTGAACGTCAGATCAAGGGCAGTAATTTTAACACTAGACCTCCTCTGTAAATCTAAAATGGTAGCTTTTAAAGCGTTGCCTATGGATATTAAAAATATATGCAGTTTGTCGCCATTGCACGGGGCATGCACAGTTTTAAAGCATGTCATGTTTGGTATCTATTTACTCGGCATACCATTATCTTTTATATGTTTCCAAATAATTGGCCAATATATTGTGTTTTTGTGCATTAAAAGTAAAAATAGTGTATTTTTTTTTTTTTAAAAATTTGCTGTTGAAAAAATCGCTGCGCGAGTACTATGTGCCATAAAAAATTGTAGTACCTACCATTTTATTCACTAGGGTGTCTGCTTTAAAAAAATATATAATGTTTGGGGGTTTAAATTAATTTCCTAGAAAAAATACAGATTTTTTTCATGT